ATCGGACACGCTCATTTTCTATGCTCCTTTGCAAGAAGCCATGCCTTCCAGTGACACAAATGCTAAACAGGAATGCTCTCTTTTGAATTAAGACTACACTGATGCGTAGTTTTATGTGTTTTGAGTTACAAAATATCATGCAGGGCTCCGCTGACATAACGGCGTCGCGCCGCCGCCTTCGCCGTTCGTTGGTCACCGTACAGTGCTCCTAAAAACATCGCTTCTCAAAAACAGGAATGCTACGGACAAGCCCACTCCCGTGATGAACGGCCGCTGCTGTGTCGGACACGCGGCCTCTGCTGTGCCGGACACGCGGCATCTTTTGTTCCGGAAACACGGCCGCCCAGGTGATGGACGGCTGCTCGCTCACCGGACACGCGGCCTCTCATGTGCCGGCACGCGGCCAGTTCATTGCCGGACACGCGGTCTTTCTTGAGCATGACGGCCGCTCGTGCCTCCAATACGTGATCCCTTCCATGTCGGACACCCGGCCGCTCCTGTGGCGGACAATCGACCGTGCCAGTGTTCGAAGCGGCGACGCCCCAGTGAGCGGCTGTCCGCCACGGTAATGAATTACTGGTGCCGCACGTTCCCTTAAGGTAAAAATACGGAAGTTGTCCAGTGCGTCAGCGACGGACGGTATTCACATAGGTAAGACATAGATCATACATAGACACTAGTAAAAGCCTTATTCCTCGGAGAAAGCTAGGGGAATAAAGTTGTAGTTGGGTTGCTATGTTGGCAACATGTCTTTATCGAAACAATAGCAGAAGTGAAGCCACGGTTTATTGAAGACACGCTGAAGCCCGTGGCGCATATTTTCGCCAAGAATACTAAGGTATTAACTAGTTCTGCTAACTTTGCTAAGTTCTTATTGAACGAGGCAATCATAGACGCTTTTCGAAAGAAGGCCTGTTTAGAACGACAACGTTCACGTTTATTTGGATCAATCTCACCTTTCCTGGAGTACAAATGGTACGCTTGCACATGTGCGACGTGTGAACGGTTTTTTAAAATCACTATTCGCGAAAATAGACCAAGACTGGTTAACAGATTAACACAACTTCAAGCTAAACGCCAGTGGAATCATTGCTATGAAGAACAGGTTGACAGTCAAGCAAGTCAGAAGGACTGAATAATTTATCGTCCGTTGAACTTAATACCAAGGAACTTAATCTTGTAGCCAAAGGTCCGAACTTTACAACTTCACTTCTGCTATTGTTTCGATAAAGGCATGTTGCTGAAATGTCAACTCATCTACATCCCCTTTCTCCAGGTTTTTCTCCGGGGAATTAGGTTATTTCTACTTTCTTATCTATAAGATGCATATGTTGTAATGGCGCAGCGCGGCTCAATGTAACACCTATTCCGACATGCTGTATATTTTATGAATTCGTGATGTGTGGCCATTAGATCCTAGGTTCATAGCTAGAGCATATGGTGTGCCGTACGCGAATATGTCCATAACAGGTAAGCGGGGAGATGCCGCGGGTGGTTATGATATGTACGCTGTCCAAATGCTGGTAATGAGTGATGGCGATTTTGAAATCAATGGTTGACTTGAATCTACCTGAAATCAGAATCGTTGCTTAAAACGAAACAAGGTCGTCATGTAACGACAAGGTCACGGCGTACCAAATGCGAAATAATTAACCGATCTCGCTGGTATGGCATGTTACTCGGACATTGGCCTATCATCCACGTAACCCAGGCTGTGAAAAAGGTTATCCAGTGTTGGATTTCTGGTTGGCAGTTCTGGATTAAGGAATACAAGTTTGCCAGGCACAGACTGTAAATTCTGAATTCTGCCCTGAATTTCTAAATTTGTGTTAAGTTATGCAATTTCATTTCAGGCACTGAATTATGAAATAGGCCATAACTATGATATGAAACAAGGTGGCAATTCTCAGCTTTAGGCAACGCAGTTTGCAACATCAAAAAGACGGTACACCTGATAGCACAGCGACGGAGCTTGTTTCTATACATGGATTAAACCCCGGAAAGGCTCTTTCTCCGATTCTGGCATTGCCTCAGTATACTGTGAGATAGGGCATAGAGTTTGTTACGTGCCACTTACGGATGTGATACGGCCGCTAACCAAACACGTTCTCTCGTTTCTTCGTACGTGCGACGTCGTAGACTTGAAGCAAACCGATGTGCTCACCAGTCTTAAGCCCGCTACGCCGGTTATTCTGCATTGAGGCCTCTGCCCTAACCACCGAGGCACTTGCCATGGCCAGCAAAGCATGTTTCAGTGTAAATAAAATTTCCGAAGCGAACATTCGTATGATGTTTGTGACTCATCGCACTTAAGTCACCTTTGTTTTGTATGGTTTTACGAATTTATAGCTATAATGTGACGGTTTCTAATAGATTTAGCTCCAGGCGACAATTTAGGCTGTTCCAAGTTCCGTCGGTGTGAGAAAAGACACCTTTCACCCCTCGTCTTGTGCGCGAATGATGGACATTACTACCACGTCGTTTGACCAGTACCTCTTGTCATATTGAAGGTCGTTAACTCAGCATGAGTACTTTGAAGTCATAACTCCTGATAAATCTGACTACATCTATAGCTACCTGTCGTGAAAAATTATTGCGCGTATTACGTCGCATTCACGAACCGGTGCGTAAAACCGCCGCGGAGGCTATATATGCACCCATTGTCATGTCATTAGCACGTGGGGGAATAGGAGATGTGGTAAGATGAGTATGCGAGAAAGAAAGTTAAGAATAGGGGCCCGATGTGGCAGGGCCAAGGATGAGGACGACCAGAATCTCGTCATCTACAGGCGCCAAGCTCGAGTGATCGATAGGATACACAAGGACACAGATTGCATGGTTTGAAAATGGTATAATTGTTGAAACAAATGAAACGAAATGGTCGGTGAAACAAAGCGATACTGTCTTTGACATACCAAGAACAAGTACGCCGGGTACACTGCAGTGCACGCGGCGAAATGCTGCTGGTGGGCACCGGGGTCGGCGCTCAGTGTCTCTGATAAGTTGCGGCGACTCAAACTACTGTCAGCTCTCTTTTTAGCTCAAAAGCGTGGCTTTCGTAAAATGGGACCGGTGCGTATACTTGTCTAAAGCCGCCCAATCGCGGCCGACATTCGCTGGTGCCAACGCAGGTGATGGACAGCAAGGTCATCTCACTCTCCACCTACCATTATCTTCCAGGGTTTGAAACGAAATGGGTAGATAGGCATGGGCGAAACTGGCAATGGGTAGATAGGCATGGACGAAATGGGTAGATAGGCATGGACGAAATGGGTAGATAGGCATGGACGAAATGGGTAGATAGGCATGGACGAAATGGGCAGATAGGCATGGACGAAACTGGCAATGGGGCCCGCGGGGTCCGGATCCGAATGGCTTTGGGCAAACTGGATGTTGCTTTTGTGTGTCTTTGCTATAGAAATTGCACAAAAACAGAAGTGGACACAAGTTGCAGTCTTTGCGTGTTAACATCCATGTAAATTATATACAGATGAAGTCTGCAACAAGTAAGTCACGCGTGTTTTGCTCGTTCCTCTCAAAAAACTTCAAGAGCAAGCACCTGAACAAAACAGATTTGATTGGTGGTATGCTAAACGCTTACAGACACTTTAATCAGCGTTTCAAGGGTGTTGTTACCGTAAGGCCTATTGGTGAAATAGTGTCTGTTTCTATTGGTGAAATGTTTCTGTTTTTATTGGTGAAATGGTGTTTGCTTCTGCTCTTGTGCTACCTGACTAGCATTTTGCAATTATGTCTGAAAATAGCTGCATTGTATACAAAGCGGCTTCAGAAACAAAGACCGCGGCAATTAACTTACACCTGAATGACCCAAAAACTGGACTACGGCCTTTGTATAAACACTTCAAACTTATGCGTGCGTTCCCCTCCTTACACCTCACCCTAATGCGCCACCACATTCTTGCGACGTCACTGGTAAGAGCCCATTCTAGCCTTTGTGAACGGGGATCGCGTAAGGTGGAGGATCGCGTTTGACCTTTCCATTCGCACATCCAAGCATTCCGTGGCTGCAGTTACAATGCGTTCACCAGTTTCGCTGTAATTGACCATAGGCTCCGTAATGACGCGCTCGCGTGCAGCAGTAAACGCAGGTAGCCGGCCTGCACCTAGTGAAGCCGGTTCCTCCGGCATCTCCTCGTATGACCGTCACATTTGCCAGAGTTTGGCAACCAGTTCCAGAACGACGGGTACCTACTGCTACAAGCTGATGTGATGAAAGGAAGTGCCAGTTCAGAGGTGGGTGTCATCTCAACCAACGAAGGGTGACTTTGATCTCCGACCATCTGGGATTTGGAGGAAATTCTCCCTCTGGAGGTTTTCTCTAGCTATGAGCATGATTCTGAGAGAAAAAAAGCAATCAAGAGTTCCATATTTGAGTTCTAAACCTTTTTGAACGTTTCATGTTTTGGAAAGGTGCTTTTTATGGACCTTGCGTTTTCAATGACGCGGTGATAAATCTTACGCACAACTATATTTAGTTTACCGGCATGCAAACAAAGAATATATATATATATATATATATATATATATATATATATATATATATATATATATTAATATATTAATATATACATGTAAATATACGCATATATCTAAATAAAAAGATAATAACTTGGAAATCGATGAGTGAAAAATGTAACCGTTAAAATTTTAAAGTGAGCACGATTTTGGATCTTCCACGCCTTCTTCTTTTAAAGGCATGGAAAACGTAGGGTATTTCCATACCGATTCATCCAGTGAGGACTAATTCGGTCCTTCCGCGCGCAGCGGTCAGGCGCCGTCTCCCTAACGACGCCTCTCGCTTGGCGTCGGGTGTCTGACGCGGTCACAGGCGGCGCGCAGGGGAAGGGGAGGGGCAGTTGCTGACCGCTCCTTGGTGGAAGTGAGGCAAATAACGCTTGGGTGCCATAATCAAGCCAATTACTTTCACTACATGCGGCTCTTCGGGCTGAGTGTGCGTAACGAAGATAACGGAGGGATACCTTGGCTATGCGCGCCATTTTGACTTGCCACTTGGCTGAGCAGCGCTGGCGTGTCTGAGAATTCCCAAGGAACCAAGGAGCTACGAAGGAGTGGTTGTAATGAAGTGCTTCTAGCGACCTCAGTCATGCCATCAAAGATGATTTACTCGAAAATGTGCAGTAATGCCTGTTGAGGACCATTCACGCTGTGTCCTGGTGCAAAGACAGTGTGTAAGGGAAAGTATGATAAAGGCGATATGCTCACATCACGAGCAAGATTTGTTGGATCGACATCAGAAAGCGAAGAGCATTACAACAGCTCTGAAGGCGTGCGCCGATCCCTTTAACGAAGAGCAGCAAAGGAAAAAGAAAGAAACCACGTTAGCAGGATGAGTACAATGAGTACTAGCTGCATTCATCCAGAAACACAGTCTGCACGGCCTCTTGAAAGCTGAGGAACCCCAACGCACGCTCTGCAGGAAACGAACTTCCAGAGAATTTCCTAAGTTTGGGCAGTCGGCAATGGCGCCGCCAGACTTCAGCCAGCTGTAGACCAGCTCGCAACAAACAGCGCACGCTAGGACAAAGGAGAGCATCAGAGACAGACCAGTTCGCAACAAACAGTGCACACTAGGCCGAAGGAGAGCATCAGAGGCAGACCAGCTCGCAACAAACAGCGCACACTAGGCCAAAGGAGAGCACCAGAGACAGACCAGTTCGCAACAAACAGTGCACGCTAGGCCGAAGGCGAGCATCAGAGGCAGACCAGCTCGCAACAAACAGCGCGCACTAGGCAAAAGGAGAGCATCAGAGGCAGACCAGCTGGCAGCAAACAGCACGCACTAGGCCAAAGGAGAGCACCAAAGGCGCTCTCGGCGCCCTGGTGCCCTCCCCCGGCAGCATCAGCACTCCTTTGCTATGCGCAAGGTCAGACCTGCTCTCATTCAAATAATGCCCGGAGACGGCGACAGTATAGCACCAGAGCAACTCACGGACATGTCAAGCCTCGGAAACACGTCTGTGAATACCCGTAAATCAATTATTTCCTGTGGATGGCCGGCCGCATTAAAGATGTTGCATCAGTTAATGGCGATGGTGATCGAACTCAGACAACTCGCTAGAAATTGGTTGTCAAGTGTGCGATGTAAGAATGCCATTAATACCGAATCAAATCAAAATTAAATGGCAGAGGCCTTATACATTTCAAGAGACACTACACATTTTAACTTAGTCCTTCACTGACACAGCCGAATATATAAGCCCCATCACCATCCCCAAGTACCAACGGACT